CTCTCTCCCTCTCTCTCTCTCATTTTAAGAAATTTAAACCAACACCTTAAGTGAGATATTTTATGAATAGTTGCTAAGAAAAAATAATAATGTTATGTGCCAACATCTAACTGTCCTTTATATTTTTTCCCTTACAGGTAAATTCACACTGTGTTTCTCTCTTGTAAACTGCTCAGATTCCATGGAAAATAATGTTACAGAATTTATCCTCACAGGTCTTTCCCAAGATGAGGAGGTGCAACAACTATGCTTCTTTTTGTTCTTACTCTTTTACATTATTCTCATGACTGGAAATTTTCTCATTATAATGACTATCCAGAAAAGTCCAAATCTCAGTTCTCCAATGTACTTCTTCCTTCGCTTCCTATCCTTTGTTGACATCTGCTATTCCTCTGTGACAGCCCCCAAATTGATTATTGACTTCCAGGCTGAAGTCAAACTCATCTCTTTTGTTGGTTGTATGATCCAGCTTTTTTGTGTGCACTTATTTGGCTGCACTGAGATCTTTATCCTCACAGTGATGGCCTATGACAGGTATGTGGCCATCTGTAAACCTCTACGCTACACAAGCATCATGGACTGGAAGGTCTTCTCCACACTGGTAGCCACCTGTTGGTTGGGAGGTTTTCTGCACTCTTTTATCCAGACCATCCTCACTGTACAACTGCCCTTCTGTGGCCCCAACTTGATTGACCACTACTTCTGTGATGTCCACCCTCTCCTGAAGCTGGCTTGTGCAGATACATATGTGGTGGGGCTCATCGTGGTAGCCAACAGTGGCATGATTTCTCTGAGCTGCTTTGTAATCCTTGTGGGCTCTTACACTGTCATTTTGCTTTCCTTCAAGACTCGTTCATCAGAGGGAAGGCGCAAGGCTCTGTCCACATGTGCTTCCCACATCACTGTGGTGATCTTATTCTTTGTCCCCTGTATCTTCATCTACCTAAGGCCTTCCACCACTTTTACTGAGGACAAGATGGTGGCTGTGTTTTACACCATCATTAC